CTCATGTCACACCACCAGCTCTGTATATACAAGTATTCCTTAAATGCAAGATGGACACCCTGCTATCTGCATTTTCAGAAACTGGACTGCTGCTCTGGTTGTATTTCTTCTAGGCAAGCAGGTGCCTTGGTTAGAAACCCAGTTTATTAGTTGTAAGATTTTTCAAAGTGAAAAGTCTTGAACAGAAAGATTTTTTCAAAGTAACACCTGCATAAATGGCCTCATTTGCACATCTTGAGCTCTTGGAGGATAAAAGTTTCTACTGCTATATACTGGGCTGTATTTGATTCAGTTAAGAATTTGTTGTCTCCCAGCTGCCAATATGGTAAAACCTTTCCTCTGTGCACAGGTTCCAACCCCACAGCTCTCAATAAGCCTACTTTTTAGTTACCTAAAGCCACCTGTTTGTCCATCTGAAAACAGTTTCTGACAATTTATTTACTCAGAGGCACATTTAAACCATCACATTAGTTTGTTTGCCATCTTGCTTTTCAGTCCTATAACAGAATACACCTAGCTATGATTTCAAACTCTTAATTACAGAAAATACAGACTATACCAGCTGAAACAAACGTCCAGAATCACACACTGGCTTGAATATAAAGGCAGCAAACAACACACTCCTCACATTTCAGACAGCACAGCTTACATTGAAAGCTATTTGTTCTTCCACATTTCAGCTTCTACCAGCCTAGTTCACATCTGCATAGTCTGGCTGCACATACAGCCATAAATCAGAGCAGGTGCCTACCTTCCACCCAACCTTTGGTACGTGCCTCCTCTGGCATTATCTCCACAGAACATTAATCTCCCTGAGTACAGCCACCACACTCAAGGACCCTTTGACCACAGGACCCACTATGTCTGAGGTGATTATCCATGTATAAATCTAGTTTTAAGTTCTGGCAGTACTCTCAGGGGGTTAAAACTTCCAGTAGAAATTTTACTTGAAGGAAGAGAAGAGCCTCCAGGTAACATCAGCCTACTTCAAGCTTTCCATCAGCCTCTGAGAACTTTTTCTCAGAACTTTTAAAGTGTTAGTGCCATCACATTTGCACACTAGTTACCTCCTCATTGATAATCGTAGCATTGCTCAGGGAGCGCAATGCTGAAGTTATTTTTCTTCCAAGATCTGCGAGAACCATTTTGGCGGCTTCGAGTACAACTCAGAAGAATCTGGAAAACAGTTTAAAAAAAATCAAGTTACAATGCCACAAATTAATTATTCCAGGAACTTTCAGGTAAGGAATCCTGCTTTGCAATCCAGAAAGTGTGTAAGTTTTACTTTTTAGCTATTTTTAGGAAACACTGGCCTGAAGCTAATTTTAGGTTATCCTGATGGCCTACTTAAAAACAGAGATACCACACTTCAATTAGGAAGCACTTCACCGTGTAGAACAACTGCATTGTCTTCACCAGGAAAAAACAGTTCAGACAGACTTCCAGAAAGAACACTTCCTGCTTTTTATCTTCTTGTCAGCAATATGCTACATGACAGAATAAAATCAAGCAGGATAGCTTAGAAACTCTGCATCCTGCAAAGCCAGTATGACCAGAAGCAGGATATTTTGCTAGCAAAATTGAACATTATTTACTGGTTGCATTTTATCTAGCTTCCAATATATCAAACTGAATTTCCCATTTTAGTAACCCTACAAACATGTTTGCATTTTAATAAGCAAAATTCACATTGTAGTTTTTAATGGATTTATTGGAAAAACAGATTGTTTTTGTTCACTGCAGACACAAATCTCACATATAAGTGTACCATAACTTACAGTTAAGAAACCATAAAAAGTTAATTTCTGAAGGGTATGAATATTCAGGTCAACATGTTAAACCACTCCACCTCCTATATAACCCTCCAGATATTTTCCAAAAGAGCTAAAACAAGTCACCCATGTAAGCCAATCTCCTGATTGCTTTGTCTAGTTGAGAGTTACTATTGTTACAAAGCTAGCACGTTAAACCATCAACAAAACCCTAAAACCAAGTGCCAGCCTAACCCTCCCCACCCCCAATACTGAGGTCACACTGCAGAACAAATTCTTCAGGGGTTTCAAAAGATGTAGGATAAATAAATCCACTCTAAGTACAGGACTTGGGTATAGCAAATGATGCAAATAAATACATTTACACAGTTTAGATTTAATGAACATTGTATGTACAAGCAATTCCAAAGTGATATCCATTACCATGCCATCTCAATATTCATTAAAAAAATTAGTCTATGCTTCCTAAGGACCTCTACCCATAGAGTATTTGCAGATCAGTACATTAACAGGTATGGATGTCCACCTTCTTACATTGCTGAAAGAGGATTTCACGTTATCTGAAGTGGTAAGGAAGGAAACCTTGGAGTTTTACAAGGCATACAAGTCACATTATGGGAGTATAATTCTAAAAAACTATTATCATCAATATGATCTACCAAAGGGTCTCAGCAAAACAGATGTTCAAAACATTTTTCAAGTTCGTTTCCTGTGAAAATCACAATAATGCAAAAATAAAACCCCTTAAAAATAGCATTGCAACTCAGTAAGCTTTGAGCTGCTAAAACTGCATCCACAGACAAAACTTCACTACAATGCTTGGATATAACAGCTAAGAAATTTGATAGGATGACCAACATACAGAAGCCACGTGACTGCTCAGTATTTAAAATTAGTTTCCAGAGTTCTATGGGTCTCTAAATACAGAAAGTTAATTATGTCCTAGGACACAAATGTTTCCTCTGCAGAATTCCAAATGTTTCTTCCAACAGCCTTACAATAGGAATAACACAAGTACTTTGCTCTCGCTAGCACATTAAGAAATCATAAGCCATCAGAATTACTAAGGAGTGCCAAGTACAGAACTTAACAGAGCTTGTCACACACAGTCCATCCCAGTGGAGAGCCACACTCCAGACAACTGCTTGGGTGGGCAGGCAGCCAGGAGGGCATTAGCAGTGACTGCACTGCAGAACATGGATATGCTGAGCATCCGTAGTTCCGGAGAGCTGAGCTTTAATGCAGCACCCCACAAACACCCTGAGCAGGGTTAAACCCAGCAGGGCCCCCCAAGAGACTCGCCAGGCTGCAGCGAGCAGGTCTCTGCTGAGCTCAGCTCTGCACAGTCTGAGCCACCTGGGCACCTCCACACTGAGCTCCCAGGATATCCTTCTGCTCCACGGAGTGCCAGGACTCTGTGCTTCTGCCAGGAACAGGCATTTCAGGAACCAAGGGGCAGCAGAAATAGCGGGGGGTTTATTAGGTCTAAGAAAATCAGCAATGAAGCAACTCTGAAGGGACAGACCGCCTACCGCTGCTCAGCCCCCCAGCATAAACCTAAATAAATCTGCCTAGCTAATCTAGCAGTACTCTTTTAAGTAAAGGATTTTAAAAAGCAAAAAACTCTAAAATGCAAGAGCTCTTTAAACAGCTGTTTAAAAGATAGCAAGTAAAAGGGACGTTTACTTAAAGTTTGTATAATAAAGTTACACTAAATGTACACTTACATGGATTAGATCAATCTCAAATCAAATACTGTAACGGAGCAGCAGCTGTTTCACAGGTGCGAACGGCTGGAGCTGCTACAGCGTCACTCAACCTTAGCTTACGAGTTTCCACCTGCAAAAGTTACCCGGCAAAGGGCAGGAAGGCGCCCCGGGACGACAGCGGGGACCGGCTGTCTCGCTTATAGCCCAACGCCCTCGTTTTCAAGGGAAGGAAGGGAGAAGGGAAGGCACAGCCTTGGATACGTGTCCGACCGCTGCCTTCTCCGCGGGCACCCGGGCTGGCCACAAACAGCGACCAGGCCCCGCCCGGGCGAGCCCCGTCCCAGTGACTCGGACAACGGGGACTGGTCCGGGAGGCCCAGAACTGCTCCCACTGAGCTCTGGCGGACCGAGGGCCCTGAGCGGTCCGTGCTGCCGCCCGTCCAGTCCCGGGGGCAGGAGGGCCCGGTGCCCACCTTCCGTCCCCGCTGACGCGACAGCTGCGAGCACTCACCGTGCGCGCGGAGCGGGGCACGCGGGCAGAGCCGCGCCCAGCCCAGCCCAGCCCAGCCCGGCCCGGCCCGGTCCGGCACGGCCCGCCCGGCGCTGCCGCCGGGGCGAGGCCGCCCCGCGAGACGCTGCTGTCGC